GAAAGTTATACTTCTTTTAACAAATTCATTTGGAATGATGATAAACTATTAGAAGAAAAATAAAATTATTCTAACAAAAATTAAAATTTTTACTTGACAATTCTATAAGTTACTTAAGTTCAACCAGATAGATAATTAGTGAAAGCAGCCTATCCTGCATAATCGAGGCATGTGTGGCAGAAATGGCTAAGTGACTTCAAAAATAGCCAGAAAATAAAAAATTGTTTTTGCCGTAAATCAACAATTTTAATATCCAATCAGTCAGTCATTTCCTAAAGTCTTAGTTTTTGAAATGGTCAACAAACCATTTATTTAACATTATTTTGGTAGTTACCAGTAATTTCATTAAACAAGGTACATGAACTATCTAAGGAAGGTGATTACTCAAAATCATGTTTACCTTGACTTTTTACATTCATATCCCAGTACATAGGACTTGAAATCTCTAAATTCAATGAATGACTCCCTAATGTTATAGATTACATACTTAACTATCGGAAAATACCAACTTGAATTTCAACAACTTAGCCATTTTGCTACAACATGCCTTAACTTATTATGCAACATAAAATTAATTTTTAAAGTATTAAAAACAAAATGTAATGGTCATTATTATAACAAATGAAATTATTTCTTCAATTTTGAAACAATATATAGTTTTGTGCTCTTTTGCTGATACTGTACTTCAAAATGGTTGGACGGAAAACACCTACAGTAATTTGCTTTCTCAACTATACAAATAAATAATATTCCAAGAGTATTGAGGATTTTTTGTTTGGACTATTGCTGAATTCCAATTTGATTGAACCTATTATTAATTGTATAGTCAGATTGTTGCCATGGTTACGTAGGTATCTATGCTATTGTATTTCTTTACCATTATTATGCCAGATCAATATTGTGATGGTGATTTCTCAATTTACGCATCAGCTTAACCATGGAGGATTCCTCCATGGCTTAACATGTTTGCTACCATGCAGTATGACATAATTTAGCATGTTTACGTGGCCGTTTGCTAGAAGATAAGTAACACAGATGATCTCCAGTCGAGCGCCTACATTGGCTGTACCAGGAAGTCATGGGATTAGATCTGAACTGGAAAAAAATGTGCGCATTGCTGCTTGTTTTGAAACCCTTCATCAAAAAGGTTTTAAAAATGTATGTAATTGATAAAAACATAATTTTTAACTACTATTCTGCAAATAATAAATTGTATTCACGCTGTTTATCACCAGAGAATTCTGTGATGAATTGCACAGGTCAAAGAACAGCTAATCTGCTTAAGAATCATGCCGATGATCTGTGTTAACACCGCTGCTATGTGGAGGTAACTCTTTAGATCATTGCGGTTACTGATCCAGTAACACCGTTTACACAGCCACTTAACACCAATATCATCGGCTCAACTCGATAATCACGGTGATCTGCCATGTTACACAAGGCTTGTAGTTGTAGCTCCTAAATACAGTAATAATTAATAATAATAATAATAATATAGGGATATATACTGCGCATCTTGCCAAGGGATGCAAGGCCCTGGTGTTGTTGCTATTACATACCCTTGGACATTGGATCCATTAAGTCAAACCAGCATGAAGCGCAACCTCCTCCGCTCCCTGGGGAGTATTTCTAGTCGTGAGTGCCATTCAATGCCGATACAGACTAATACATCGAATGCCACATCATCGTACCACGTACCCATTTATACTCCTGGGTGGAGAGAGACAAATGTAGATAAAGTGCTTCACAGTGAAGCAGTACAGTGCTATTATATATAGAGTACCACAGTCATGTCGTCACAACGCCAGGTAGCGCCCTCTGTTGCCAACCAGACGCTGGTTACTGTTCATTATGCTTGAATGTCTGCATAGGCTTTCAGGAATAGGCATCTTAAAATCTAATATTTTACCATCAAAATGTACTAAAAACACAAAAGCTCGCATTATATTAGTTATCGAACACACATTTAATCATCAATTAAAATTTACAAAGAAAAACTAAGATACAACATCTTAATAATTGCGTTAGAAATTGGGATCAATGGTTTGTCAGTGGAGAAAATGGCGTCCGGTTGAACGCATTTTGCAATGATAGCAATGGAGTAGTATCACATGGTATCGTGACATAACACTGTAGTACTCCCATAGAGCTATTAAACAACTAGAGTGCTGACAAGATGGCGAAGAAATGCAGAGTTGTGTATGTGTACCATCCAAGATGGCCGCCGAAAGAAAGCACCACCTTCAGGCTTACTATACATATTATTACCATAAATAAGCCCTCTAACTGAATGTTATTTCATTAATGATAATTAGTATTAATAATAACAAATCATTAAACTATCGTAGCCAAAAAGAGGCCAAGTAGAGCATCTTATTCAAAAATTTAAAAAAATTAAAATCGTGTACATTACACCTATACACCGCAACGCTCGAGTTTCAAACATACGGGTAACTAGCTGTACCGAGCTTTCTGTGTAAATTGAGGGCGCCATTGAAAATGATAGTGCTTAGGTGAAATTTGATTGGCTGAATCTATGGCAGCCATCTTGGATGGTACACACACAGAGCTCTGCGTATATCGAACATCGAATACATTGCAGTTAGCGCTCTAGTATTCTTATTATATCTCTATGAGTACTCCATACTTGCAGCAGTTGTATAAGCATTACTTATGCTCGTCCCTGAGTTTGCTCTTCCATGGCAGCAAATGTGTTAAGTATCTTTCCATGCATGTTTTGTGCCAATACAGATTATGGTGTGAAAAAAAAACATTTGATATTAAATAAAAAATAATTATTCAGATGAATCAGAAATATGATGATCCGTGCACGTTTTTTTTTCGCCAATACAGATTATGGTGTAAATAAAAAAGCATTTGATATTAAATGAAAAATAATTATGCAGATGTAGCAGCAGGAAATGATTTAATAATAAACTTGATTGAAATCTAGAATTGTCTAGAAAATAGAATGGATTCTATACTGATTATTATTAATTAGCATGCTTGTCTATAGTATTAAAAGAAAATTGATATGGGAAGTAGGAAATAATAAAGAAGAATGAGTATGAAATTTGATGAGTTACGTAGCGGGGGCAATTGATGTAAAGGTGTGTGTATTGATCTCAATGCCACAAAGCGCCCTAGAGCCTGATGTATTAATCCAATTAAAGATGAAGTACTCCATTAGAACAAAGAGCGTGATCTCTCCGCTAAGCCGCATTGCTAGAGATAAGTCGGCCGCTGCGGAGGAGTTATCTATTTAAAGTGGCTCCCTCAGCAGCTGACGTAAAAATGTTGCATCAATATTCATCCTTTTATGGTTGTTAAAAATGTAAACATGCTGAGATCTTCATTTATGATTGGCAGCACAAGCCTTGTTATATACATGTTCTCAGTGAGTGGTGAACTGTACTTCTAAATTTGTACAGTATAATACAGTACTTTAAAGGGACAAATGAGGTGAAATTATTTAGGTTTTGATTACTTGATGTAATACAGTCGCATATTAGCTTATCGGTACTTTTATTAAGGTTGTCTGTATACTAATGGGAGTGAATTCTAAATTTGTGTAGGTAAGGAGGGATGGCCACAAGAATAACAATGTGTTCCAGTAGGCATAACAAATTTTGCTCATTCTCTTACACATAATTTTGTGAATTTTTTTGCACTTTCCAAACATTAATATGCCTCATCACTGTCACTATTATCAGGGGCGGATCCAGTTTTTTTCAAACAGGGAGGGTGAGTGGGGGGGAGGGGGGCACAACAGTCCCAGAATAGATAAGTGAGTAGCACATAACTTTGATTTGCATTGAAAATGTTAAAACTTAGTGGCAAACCGGGGGTTGTTGTCATTGTCATCATAATCATCATCATCATCATCATCTTCATCATCATCATTTTCTTCATTATAATATTCTCATCTTTTTCATTTTCTCCATTATCGTTTTGATTAGCTCATAGTCTTAATCATCACAGAGTACCACAGTCGTGTCGTCACAACACCAGCCAACCAGACATTGGTTACCGTTCATTACGCCTGAATGACTTCATAGGCTTTCTGGAATAGGCATTGTAAAAGCTAATATTTTAGCATCAAATTGTACTAAAAACACAAAAGCTCACATTATATTCATTATCAAACACACATTTAATCATCAATTAAAATTTGCAAAGAAAAACTAAGATACAACATCTTAATCATTACGTTGGAAATTGGGATCAGTGGTTTGTCAGTGGAGCAAATGGCATCCGGTTGAACGCATTTTGCATTGATAGCAACGGAGTACAGTAGTATCACATGGTATCATGATATAACACAGTAGTACTCTATATGCATAGTTTTTAATATATTGCTATTACACAAAAAAAGACAAATTTAATTAAGTAGCAAGAGATTACTACTGTATACTCTGCTTCGTCATATCATTTATATCATTTACTTCTTTCTTCACAATTTGATCCGTCATCATCATCTTTATCCCTAACTAAAGATATAAATGCGAATTTTTATGCCGTTGTTTTACAAACTTATTCTTTTAAAGGTCATCAGAGGAGGGCGGAAAAAAATTTAAAAGAAAATTTTCATATTTAGCAAAAAATATTTGCTAAATATGAAAATTTTCTTTTAAATTTTTTTTTAAATGGGATGGTTAAATTTGTATAATTAGGAAAAAATATACTATCTTATTTTTGGAGATTTTAAGGCAGCAACGGATGTAATAAAAATAAAGAAGAAACCTTAATTTCTATTTTTTCGTGGGGGCGGGTGTGCTAGTTGGGCAAAAATAGAATTTTGTTTTATTTGAAATCATTATTATTGGCTGGCAGTGGGCTTGCTAAACAAGGAATAGATAAAATCTCACCTAAGCACAGTGTACCTTATAAATTTTCTATTGAATTCTAAGTATCATTTGTTGTTGGTATTATTATTACTGTATATTTAAAGTAATAATTGTCTTGCATCATGATATTTACTATTTATATTTGTTTTTCAGGGAAAGTATATGTTTGGGATCCACTGATCTAACCGAAGATCAAGTAATGAAGGTCGTAGATTGTCTTGGAAAGAAGTACCCTGGGGACTCTTATCACCTCATTCATAAAAATTGTAATCATTTTACTCAAGAACTTTCTCAGGTGAGAATTATAATATCAAGACTTGTAATTAATATCGTTCTTGCTTGCTAATGGGGATGGTGAAAATGTATCTATTATCTAAATGAGAGATGTTGGAGTGATTAAAACGATAACAATAGTGGCGGTGTTGAAGTTATTGTACTTATTCGGTGATGGAAACAGTGGCAATGGTAGTGATAATGAATGACGGCAGTGACGTATCTAGGAATTTTGATAGGGAAGTGCAAAGTTGAAATGGGGGCTTGATTATAGATGAGGGGGAAGTTTGAACAATAAGGTGATTTTTAACTACTTGAGCATGATTTGGAGGGGTGCATCTGGGGGGAGCGAGTACAGTATTTGGGGTGGGGCATGTACGCCACTGAATGACAGTGATGATAATGACAGTGATATGTGATGATGTTAGAGCACTTGCTGGCTTCAATGATGGTGATCTGACTGTAGTGCATGATGTGTTGAGGATTATGATGGCATATTGTGATGTGGCATTGATTGTGGTGGTAAAATGACAGTGGTGACAAATGAAAGTGACAATAAGAGTTACAATGTGGTGATGATGTTGTAGTATTTGCAAGCTTTATGGCGAAAATGTCACTAGTGCATGGTAATAGTGAAGATGATCGTGATTTGCACACAAGGTGCTACTGCGATGGTGACAACTATAGTGCTGGTAAAATGACAGTGATAATGGTGACATTATGTGATGACTTCAATTTTGTGTGGTATTTTTTTTTTCTTTTCTGTTGTTGTTAAGTGCCTTGAGGATGTGTCAATGTGAGGCACTATAAAAATCCAGAATTATTATTATTTATTCCAAGTATATCTAACTAAAGTGTTAGATTCAAAGGAAACATGACAATAGACATTCTATACATTTTTTCTTTTGCAGATTTTATGTGGCAAAGATATACCAAACTGGGTAAATAGGCTAGCTACCGTTGGAGCTAGGATGCCTTTCATGGAACGTATGTTGCCAAAAGAATGGCTAACACCTTTAGCAATCGAGGCGACAGTGCACGTTAAGGAAGCAACGCAACTCTGACGATAAAGCATTCCTAAAAAACTTTGCCAGTAGTTAGCCCAAGGATAAAAAGATTAAAAATCATGATTGGATTGAAATAACATTGAAATCTTCAACGATATTTTCTTACATATATTTTTTCTGACTCTGTGTTGGCATAGAAATGAACAATCGAACAATCTTCATGTTCTTTTTGTGGAAAATATGTAAAATTTCGGACGTTGAGAAGGGATTCAACGAATTGCGTCCTATCCTTGGTTATTAAATGCAAGATGATGATTTCATATAACTGCTTTTTTAATGGATACCAAACCATAATGCTGAATGCTACTGATTATTGTTGTGTATGTAGGTGTACATGATTCAGTATTATGCACTGTGCGCATATATCTGTTAAATATGTTCGAATTTTATGTTTGAGGTGCAAGATCGTTTGTGGGTATACGTTGGTGGATATCATAAGCACAGTTGAGATTCTAACAAGTACAGGTGGACCCACTAAATCACAGGTGGCTTAGGAAAGTTACAGTTCACCCTCCAATTTTAGGCCACTTTAGGACCTGAAAATGTGGGGTGGTATCTAGATTTGACGATTGTTATATGATTCTTTGAAAAAGTCTCGATTTTGAAGGTCTCGAATTGGAGGGTGGACTGTATTATTATTATTACAAGGGTACGCTAGTCCTTCACATTATTTGGATACAAAAAATATTGTAACGTTGAGTACTTATGAAACATCCCATGACCAGAAATTTACAATAATTGTGGATGATTTATATGATGTTCAAACATTTTACTTACATTAATTACTGTTCATTTGACAGTTAATTAGTTACTTGTCCTTTATTCTAAGTTGGTAAATGCATTATTCTACTTACGAATATGATCGCTGATTCTTTGTAAAATATGCTGTTGCAGATGTGAATGAAAAGTTAATTTTGTTTTTATTTATTTTTTTATATAGAAATAATATTTTCATATATGAAGCATGCATATATGGAAGAGAATTTATTTTATTACATCTATGTACATCTAGGATTGGTTAAAAAATTTATGTTTGTGTTTTATTTAAATAGTTGCTTCCTTATTCTAAGTTTGTAAATGCATTATTCTACTTACAAATATGATCGCTGATTCTTGTAAAATATGCTGTTACAGATATGAATGAAAAGTTACTTTTATTGATTATTTTTGTTTAAAAGAAATAATTTTTTGATATATGAAGCATGCATATATGGAAGAGAATTTATTTATGTTTATATTTTTTATAACTTTATTTTTGCAGTGTAGATATCAAAGGATAATTACTTATTTTAGATATCTGTCAATGTCCCAGATGATGTAATATATATGCCCCATGTTACGATTGCTATCCTCATTAGTTTTAGTACTACAATACTGTTGTTATGATTTTTATGAATATTATTATTGTTATAAAGTGAGCACAATAGCTTTCATGTATTGAAGTTGAACAACATGATTATTTATAGTAAACATAATATTTATAATACACTTCATTTTCACATATACAAGACTAACCCATGCAAGGTGCAATTATTAAGTGTTATAAAATGTGGAAAGAAGAATGCAAATAAAAAATTAACGGTAGAATTATTTGCCAAACAAGAACCTGTGAACACAAATTCAACAGAAACTTTGTCACCTTCAGCAAAGAGTATAAAAAGGAAATAGAGCACCGTACGCTGGTTGTGGATAAATGATACGCCCCCCTTGTACGGAGCTATGGAAGGACGCCGTTTGTATCCTCTTTTTATTACCCAGTAATACGCTGTGCACAGTTTGTTTACCTGTTTTTCACACGATACAATATTTTCGTATATTTACTTCTTTTGTATCATAGCATTAATGTAGGTGCACTTCCTGTAGGACACAGCGGGTGCACTTCCATCATGTCTATGCCAACTTCCATCGTAACTAGACAAACGGAACTAGACTCTCATTCCTTTAAATAATCTCTGCCTTCGTTTATAGATTACATATCCTAATTGTTATTTTTTATAGTTTTTATATACAGTACAGTAATTCATTTTTAGTTTTCAGTATGTGAAAAAAAAAATAACTGAAAATAATGCTGCTAGGGATTAATTTACAAATTAGCATATTATGTAAATGAGGTGCAGGTGTTAGAGTTGGCATTCTAGGTGAGGTGCTTTTGATTGTTTTCTATATTTTTCTCAACATTCTTAGGCCAAAAATGATATATTATGCACTTGTATTTGGGAGTTTGCTTACTATCTTAAGGGAATTTGTGAGATTTTTATGTTGTCTACCAATATTTTGTATAAATCATTTAAATTCCCAGGTGGATTTCCAGGTGGCTTTTAATACTTCTGATATGCATTGAGATTTTGTAGCTTTTGCTGCTGTTTGTGCTTTTGGCATTTGTCAGCACATAGTATAATTATGTTTGATGTTATTGCACATGTTTTTAATATCATCTTAAATCCAAGGATTGGTTTCATTTCTGTATTCATAACTTTACTTTGTAGATATAATCTGTTACACTGTTAATGCATGTAATATCACATGTGCTAATATCATGCATGCTGACATGTATTTATACCATGCGTGTTGATTTCACGCATGATTACATGTTGTACATCATTATACCACATGTACCTATAGCACACATGCTTATATGTGTGCTATACCACACATACATCATGTGTGTTTATATCACACATACTTGTCATATGTGGTTATTCCACGTATACTTGCATGTGTGCTTAAACATACATATGCCATGTATAACTGCACATGCTTATGCAATGTGTGCTGTACCACAAGTGCTAATGTGGCCATTTCACATAGGGTTTTACTACATATGCTTATAACAATTGTGATTTTACCATGCATTAAGTTTGTGTAAACAATGCATCAATGTGTATACCTGTTTTTGATACTCAACTTTTTATCAATCTAGTGAGTGCCTTCAAGAATCAGGGTATAGTATGGATGATTTTTGGGTGTAAGAGTTCTTAAATACAGTACCTTAAAAAAAAACAAAATTTACATGTTTTCTTTGAGGTTATGTTTTGCTGATTCGTTATCAGTTGTCTTGTCCAGTTATTTTCTTCCAAAGGTAGAAAAATTTGTCACCAAATTTAAGGATTTTATATTATTTACTAGATCATTGTATATAATCTGCACGTTGGCATTGGCATAACTAGTTCATTTGTCCAAGTTCATTTGTCCCCAGTTCTAGTTTGGTGCATGTATACTAAGGCGCAATTTTTTTCTATTCCTTGTTTTGCGAATTTATTTGTTTAAAGATCGTCCAAGGCGGTAAAAAAAAATAAAAATAAAATTTTCTTTTCTGGTTTAGCAAATAGTTTTGCCAAAACCATCCTGATGGAAGATAAAATGAAAATAAAATTTTATCGTTGAATGTAAATAATGTTGTAATGGGATGGTTAAATGCTTTAAATTTATATAAATAGGAAGAAATATACATATCTTATTTATTGAGATTTCAAGGTAGCGACGGGCGTAATAAAAATAAAGAAAAACTTGTATTTTTTTCAGAAATTTCCAGCTTTTCGTGGCGGCGGGTGTGCTAATTGACCAAAAATAAAATTTTTCACAAAACAAGGTATAGAAAAATCTTGCCTAAATAACATATATTTCTACTTTAAAAGAGGCTTTGAATTTTTATGCACAATTCTGTAAATAGTGAATGTAAACTGAATTTTGCATACAGCACTAATGTATACAATTTCTGTTGGTTAAACAAAATTATTGATATTTATAATAGTTGATGGTACATTATTATTGTTTGCATTCAGAAATACTGCTATGATTTCTTTTTATTGCTGATGTAAGAGACTGGTTTCAAGTAGTTTATAAGTGGTAAAATATTACTAGTGTTCTTTCTAAATGATTAATATTATGGCACAAATAAAAATATTATCAGCAGGGTCATGGTAAAAATCTAAATTTCTCTCTTAGTAACTTCTTGGTGGTTAATAACAATAAAATATAAAATGTTTAATCTCAGTGTTTCATGTGTGGAGAATCATAAGGTCAATAGGCAGACAGACATATTAACAGAATAGCATATGTAAGGTCTCACCACAAAATGAGACGCATCGTTGGTGAAATCATATTGAGATATTCACCAAGGTCAAAGGCAACATTTTTACAAAATTTTAATTTTAATGTTTTTGAATAACTTGATACTTATATTTTATGATTGTGTACTTTTTAAGTGAATTTTCTTACTAAAACAGTATTCTCTTCGCATATTCTGTAATTCTAGTCCTATTATTTGTACAGGTTAGTTTATCTTTGAGGCCGATTTTCTCAAAACCTGGTTCTCATACACCTAAACTTTAAATGCTAATATCTCTGGATCTATTTATCCTAGGGAAGCCATTCAAAGACCAAAGTAAAGCTTATAATGTGATCTACTAAAATGTAATATTAACTCATTTCTTGATTTTCTAACGATGAGACTCATTTTGTAGTGAGACCTCACATATGGTGTATTATTAGATTCCTGAACAGAAATTTTGCCTCACAAACCCCTTAAATCCAGGTTCCAGAGGAAAAAACAAAAACATTTTTAATATGTTGTACAATTCAGGAACAGTTAAAGAGATGCAAATTTTTGAATATTTAAAAACTTGGGGACAGGGGCATAACCACCCTTTTTTTTAATACCTTTTTTCCCCAGTTCATAGGACATACATCATACAAGGATTTTTTAAAAGCTGTCTATACTATCAAATTTTGTGTGAAAAAAAAAATTCTAGTATCCCCATATATGGTTATGATGTGCCTGTATATGGTCATGGTTTGCATACATTATCTTAATAGACTAGTGGGGGACAGTATGTTTCCGCAGAACTTTGTGTAGCAAATTTGATTCATTTTCTATGCTTGTTTTTGGTAGCTATTAATTTAACAATAGAGTATGCAGGTTTAGTGTTTTATAGGATTTTTCTAGAGATGCTATTTTTAATATTTCTATATACCGGTGCACCATCAGGTTTTCTTTAATAAATCAAAACTTGCCCTTTAAAGTAATTGTTCATTTTTAAGTTCAGTGGTGGCCGCCACCCTTCTCCCCTCCCCCTTGTAGGGCAGCTCTATGCATTGTGTTGGAGAGTAAAAACATTCTATGTAATTTTTATGGATTATGAGCCTCCAGATCATCGGTCCCTGTCAGGCAAATACTGACTGTACGATTGTTTATATCGAATACAGGTAATTAATGAAAGCAGTTATAGCTTAAACTGGTTAATTTTTTAAACTCCAGGGACTAAATGATGGCATTATAGTGAATTATTAGTTATAGATATGACTTTTTTAAGCGTTTATCTCAAATTGCTTTACTTAATTTATTCATATGATGATTAAAGGTAATTTTCATCCGAACTCTAGCATAGTAATATTTGTTTGGTAGGGTTGTACCAGTAAGGCTTCAGTAATAACATCTTCATAATTACTTATCATAATATTTAATATATGAGTCATCCCAAAATCAAGGTACTGTCGCTAAAATGAGTAATTCGCATAAGAATGTTGCAGTATTCGCAATGTAATCGGTGGTAATCCAAATCTGATTACTCCCGATAATTGCAATCAACGAACGCATTCAGACCAACACAAACAAACTTTACATTCTAGGGCCTAGGCCTCCGGTGGCTAGGACTATGTTGACTTAAGTATCAGGATAAATGTCCTCCACTACAAATTTGTAGGATGTTTTTGTTATTTTTTGATATGGTAGATGTAACTTCAAAATCATTATTGATTTCACAAATTCAACACAAATGTGTTACATTACATTGTATTACACTGATGTAATATGTTTCAATAAAGTAATATACAAGTTTGAATATTTAATATTTCCTCTCTTCCCATGAAAATTAATTTTGTTATGTAACACTTCAAGCAACACCCCCCCCCCCTATGTCACACACTGTAACCCCCCACCACCCCTATGTCACACACTGTAACATTTTCCATTATACCCCAACCCCCTCTGCATTACATAATACTTGAATGACCCCTTTGCTCATAACTTTGGGAATAGTAAAGTCGATTGCAGTAAATGACCTAGTACTTTGGAGAATATGAATATATTAAAAAGATTTTTTTTATTTTTATTTTTTTTTGTTTTGGTCACTAATGCTGTTTTTGGTATGGTGACTATTTTGTCTGTTTTTACCTGATATTACTGTATATGAATTTGAAATCAGAATTGAAACCGTAACATTTTGTAACAACTTTTGCATCATGAAATATTAACCCAGGTTTACTACTTTGCGTTTGCATCTAACAATTAGAAGGTATTTTTTATCATTTTAGGATTGTTTTTTGACTCATTTCTTCTGGCTAGAAAATAATGGTTGTGTTTTTTTTAAACATAATATTTAACAGTAAATATACAAAAGGCTGAAAATTTGTTTTGGAATATTGTATGTATTCATCATCTAAAGAATATAAATACTATAATTTATTGTGGAATAGCATTTCTCCACTTACAGACGGCCATTACCGGATTATTATGATTGGCATGTTTTTTCCGTATCTTCAGTCATTTGTGCATTAAAATGTTACGAAGTATTTGATATTATTTCCTACAAGTTTGTAAATCGGTCATGTGGAATAATCATATACGGATCTGATCGACTGACTTGAGTATTTATTTTCATGTAAAACTCAACAATACGTAAGATTACAATATATACATTACTAATATAAAAATTATGTTTTCAGTCTTTTATTTCTGTTGTAGCTTATGCAAGTCCATATATTGTCATGATGTGATGTCATCATGACCATATAGGCATGTCATGTTTTTGTCATGTGGAATTATTATACACAGGTTTTGAAGACCGATTGATTATTTATTTTCAAGTAAAACTCGGCAGTATGTACAATAATATATACATTACTTATAAAAATTATGTTTTTAGTCTTTTATTTCTGTTGTAACTTTTGTATGTAATTGGGTGGTGCCCACTTTTAAACTCATATTCCTGGTTTCTAATCATAAAAATTGATTTGTCATGACAAAATATAAGTACACCATAGTGGCTACAGCTCAATTACCATAGTTTATGATATACAGTAGTACAGTACTGTAATACATTAATAATGATAATGATATACTGTTCTATATTTATTTGAATAAACACCCCAAGGTTTATTGTTGAAAAGGATTTTTTACATAATTACTGCCTAAATGTGCTATTGTGCGATCATAAGACTATTGGCCCAACCAGATTAGAACAAATGCAATTCTACTGGTGTGGAACATAACAGAATGTGTTGAGAATGATCTTGCTTGTATTAGATTTGTTTAGTTATTTGGGGGCGTTTATTCGAATAAATACGGTATTTAAATATGTAGTATTACTACAGTAATTGATAATGGTGTGAAAAGTGAAAATGAGGCATGTTGTGGCAAAATGGTTAAGTTGTCGCACAGGCCAGTATTGAGTAAATGAGCTATAAAATATTGGAGCTCAAAAAATTGCCTAAAAATCCATATTTGTTTTTCACTATAGATCAACAGTTCAAAGAATTAATTAATCATGTCCCAAAGTATTAGTTCCGGAAATGGTCAACAAATCGTTTATTTAAAGTTATTTTGATACATAGTTAATTCTATTAAACAATGTATGCACAAATAACATGGAAAGGCAATTACTCAAAATCATGTTTATCTTGACTCTATGAGACTGTTCTTTCATTTTCCAATAACTTAGGCTTGATTGAAATGTCAAATTTCAATGAATGAAACTTGAATTTCAATTTTTGCTACAACTTAGCCATTTTGCCACAAATACCTCAAATAATTGTAATAAGATTTTAATTCACTGGAATAAAACTTTCAAGAAAGAAAAATTTATATCTACAAATTGGCCTAAACATCTATGAACCTTGACATTGTTTTTGATGCATAATTTTTATCCCTGGATGATAATGAATTTTTTAAAAGAAATTAAACAGAACAGCTAAATAGCTAATGATGAAAACATGACAGTCATGTGGTTATGTTATTTATAACATATGCTGACAAAATGTATGCATGTAATATTTTCCACTGCGAACAACAACAATCATAAACCTTGTACGAGCGAGAGCTCCCTGTGAGGTCCGGGTAGTAAGGAAAGGCCTTTTTATACCTTGTTTAGTAAATCCGCCAATAATAATTTCGAATAAAAATAAAATTTTATTTTTGGCCAATTATTGTACCCACCACCAAGAAAAAATAGAAATTACAGAAAAAAATTAAAGTTTTTCTTTATTTTTATTACGTTTGCCCTGCTTTGAAATCTCTAAAATAAGATATGTAAATTTCTTCCAAATTATATAAACTTAAAGCATTTAACCATCCCCTGTTTACATTCAGCAATAAAATTGTGTTTTTATTTTCTCCTCCATCTGGATGTTTTTGGCTAAACTATTTGCTAAATAAGAAAACAAAATTTAATTTTAATTTTTTTTCCCACCCTCCTCTGAAGATCTTTAAAAAATAAGTTCACAAAACAAGGTATTAAAAAAGTCTCGCCTATTAGCATAAATATTAATCACTGATTTAGTATTCCACTGGCGTAAGAGCTATATAAAGTTAGGGCATCCAGGCGTTAAAGTGCCCTGGGATATTTATTAGCATTTTAACCCCATACATTGGCCGAGCAGGGCCTTTTTAACGAGCACTAACTTGTGAAAAAAGAAAAAACTTCCTTAAAATCACAAGTGCTGGACTTATCCCACAGGGTATAGGGCCAGAGGAGAAGCCTTAGCTAGGGTTCTTGGACTCCTTTTTTACACCACTGCACCATACACTTCCTACTACTGTAGGTACCCATTTCAATATCCTTTATTCTGAGTTGCATGCTCAGTTTTCAATCTGATCCAGATTAAAACAATAATTAAAATTTAGAACTGTAAAATTTATATTTAAAAAAAAACACCATTTAAAAAATAACAGAAAGCACACCAATGATTTTAAAAACTATATTGATTGGAATTCTGTCAAGCCTTAGTTACGTTACTCAGGAGTTGGCTCCTGTGAGTTAAGCAACTGAGTGGTTAAAGCTGCTCATTCATGGTTGTGATAAAACCAAGTCTTCTCAGATAAACCTCCATGGGCCTGGTATAGAAAACATATTATGTGTATTTAATGAACTTGGGACAACATAGCAAGGGCTATCTCACTTTGATGCTTGATATTACAAAAGGTCATGATACTACAAAAATGAGGACTAAAGTGTTATGACCCAGGACACAAAAGTGAACGAAAACAGATTCAAGGCCAGACCACAAGATTGAGACTCGAAACTACATCAGCTATTCCAGTTAGTGTATACAGTAGTTTAAAAACAAAACTTCAGTCATCATCAAAATATTTCTCCTGTTCATCTTGAGTCCGTGTTTCTACAGAATCATACTCTCTATTAAAATCCACACTTGTATAATCAAAATCCTCATCTTTTCCGCTTAAGAAACGTTCTCTCATATGACTCATGAATTCCTCACGGAGCAGATGTTTCTCCTCATCAGTTATGGTTACTTTACTGCCGGATTCCTTCGGATCAGGACTGGAATGTACTTCATCCTCTAAGAAATGAAAAAAAAGAAGCATTATCATTTTGTAATCAATACTTTTTATTGGGGGTCAAAGGCTAGACAGTTGGCAAACTTTCTAACCAGGATTCAAAAATAAAAGTCTGAAAGCTAACGATAAATCCCAAAATCCCTTTTTCAAGAAATATTGCAAATTCAGACATTTTGTCATTTTAATTGTACACTGTATTGCCTTTATAAGTGGAAATAAAATGGTCCCTTAATAGAGTTTAGATTGAATTTTCTAAGCTCCAGTGCAAAAAAATGATGGTCCTTTAAAGGGAGGTGACCCAATTTTGAATTGAATGTAGTACACTAGGTTTAAACTTATACAAGAGTCCAAAACAATGAGCTGTGGATAATTCTTTGTTTAATCTCTGTCCACTCCATCAATTTTTATGTGACAAGTACCTGTGACAAATGTCATATCATTCAACTAAACCTCCTACAATAATATCATGATTTAACAATTATTTTACATTGAGTATTTATAATTATTGTTACAAACAATACAGTCTCCCTCCAACTAAAGACCTTAGGATGGGGTTTCCATGGTCTTTAAGAGCTTTGGTCTCTAATAAGAATAATAAAGGTAAAAGACATTATGAATTTGAAACCACAGAAAAGTGGTCTTTCAATGGAGGTAGTCTTCAATTGGAAGGGTTTTTAATTAGAGGGAGACCTGTATTATTATTTATTCAATACTAAAATAACAATAATTTTAATGGTAAACTACAGGTGTGTACAGTATGGTTAAACTAGGCCTGTTTAAAAATTATAAATATTTTTTAAATAGTCAATTAAAGTATTCATTTAACTGATGACATTAATAATTAAAGTTAATGACCTTTTTCTTCTTCGTCATCATCCTCATCTTCTTCCTCTTCCTCCTCCTCTTCCATGCATTCTTCATCTTCCTGTTGGCTCTTGAACAAAGCCTCCCTATCCTGCCTGTGCATAAAGTCTATTAGAATTGTGGAGAACTTCAGGTCTGTGTTATCGTACGGTCTTTCCTTCTCGGCTTGACTCTGATACTGTCCAATATAATAATTATACATATACGGAGCTCTCTCATTCATTGCTTCGTCCCCAAAATAAACCCCTTCTCTCTCCAGCTTCCGAAGTGCTTCATATCGTCTATTTTTCACGACGACATCAGAGTTGTTAGAAGCTAAACGTTTTCTTGCTTCCTTTAAATAGAAGTCTACTTCGTATAACTTATTGTTTTCAAATGCAATCAGATCTTCTTCAGCTAAATACATGTGGAATCGTTCAGCAAAGACGGCTGGTTTCTTTTCAAAAAGTTCTCTCAAAATGACAACTTTTTGTTCGAGAGTTAAATCAATTTCATCTTTTTGCTGACTGGAAATTCTTGCGTTGCTATTGGCAATATTTTCAAGCATCCTCTTTTGCACCACTTCAACAGACGGCTTTTCTTCTACTTCCTCATCTCCACCACCTGCAGCAGAATTATTTAAATTTTTAAATAGTGTAGGCCTATATATTGTTTGTTAATCTATAGACTCTTTTCGGTATTTACATTGGCCTGGCTGAGACAAAAGATTCGTCAAGTATTATGACTAAGTAGTATGGTAGCTTTTGTATTTTTGGCACAACAAAAATAAAGATAACCAGTATCTTGATTTCATGCGCATTTGTCATGTACCGTAAATCCTCAAATTTATGTTAAGATTAGTTAATTCATTATTGTAATTGTTTTATAAATTGTACAAGTGTTTATTAGATTCGAACTGTTGGTACACATTCCGCATGAATTACCGTCATGGCTCGCATGAATTGGATGCCTCGCTGGATGATTGCTGGCTTGCACTTTGGCAACCCTCAAAAATTGTCTGGGGAGTTTGAGATTACTATAAATATAATGCTCTACAAACTACTTGGAACTCCTAGCCTAGTAGCAGGCAACACCGTGTCCTCCTCCTAGCTAGAAGGGCAGCCCCATCCATGACTAGCTTGCTAGGCTAGGGAGCCTAGGCTAGGATCATAGTCTAGGACCTCTAGCCTAGCCTGCCCTACTAGCTAGGCCCCTAGGTAGGCCTGCCCTAGCCTAGGCCCTAGGCCTATCTATCTATACATTTTCGCTAGACTCTAATTTACTAAGCTTAAACCTGGGCTAGCCTAGGTCGGCCAGTCTCAAAAGGCAAGCTTTTTATTTTATAAACATACACACAGGCTAATTAATACCATTTTGTTTAAATAATAATAATATACGTATAATATACAGATACTCAGTTATGTGCGAATTTAGGCCTAAGTTTGTCATGTTCAGTTTATTACCGTGAGCTGCCATGTTGTAACCTTCGACATCCATTTAACTGATTATCCAATCAGAATGAGGCTTCTATTTCCATCAGGAAACTTTGTAAACAACCACCGCTCAGCCGCTGTCTTCTGTCTTTCGCTCGGTCGCAGTCAGGCCTAGAGTTTGTTTTGGGCAGTCATATATTTCATATTACTAAAATGTAAATTGCTGTTTTACAATGGCAGGCATATTAGTTGAGCTGTATATTTGGTCTATGAAGAATTCTGTTGTCATTCGAGGTGTGTTATGCATTAAAAACAGCTGGCCTGTCTGCTCTTCTCCTCTAGGCAAGGCCTAGTCTAGTAGTTAGTTGCTAGGCACACACAGACAGGGACAGGCCTACTAGGCTAGGCAAATTCCGGCTAGGCCCCATACTCTAGCCTAGCCTAGTAATTTACGTCTAATGATAGGCCTGCTAGGCCTAGATATTCTTCGTAGTGCTACCTAGGCCTATACCTATTACTACTGAATACTGAATTGCTTAATATGTTGTGACCATCATAAAATTAACAGTCTCAGAAATTCTTTTTAAAAAGACTGGCAAACAAATTAGTAAAATGGCAATTATTAAAATAGTTGTATAGGCCTAGGCCCCTATATATAAAAATTTAATCTATTGCATTTACACACATCCACAAAATATATTATAGTATAAAACAGGATACATGATTAAGCATTGCGCCAGTGGTAAAAACAACTCCTTAAAACTTTATTAATAAACCACTACCATGCTCATCATCATTATTATAGTTTTATTCATTATTATTACAGGTACAGCTAATTTTTTTTATTACCGCTGATGATGAGAATAATGTAATATGAATGGCATTGCAACAAAAGGATGTCTTAATCTGTATTAATCATTGGAACATGTAGTCTAGCATTTCGTCTTGTTATGAAATATTTACTAAGAGGATGTTCAACTTCTTTAATTTATTTGTTCGCTGCCTTGACTACCTTCATACAATTCATGAGGTGCACCAATGGTTCTGTTACATTGTGTTCTGTTTTTTTAGAAATGCGATTAACTGTAGTCTATTTTAGACTTTGGTGTGCAGTGGAATTTAGAAAAAAATTATTTTATATCTGTCGTAATAAGTTTTGGCATGCATGCCAAATTCTTACTGCAAGCAGTGACTGAAAGCTATCTGCTTATTTGTAAACACCATAGCGATAGCAGTATGATATTTTGAATTTCATCAGCATGTAAATATGCAAATTTCCCTGAAAAAACAATTTAGAATTCCATAATCGCCTTGTGGTAAAGTGGTAGAATGTACTCAGGGCATTTCTATAGTCACCCTTTGTCAATCAGTGAGGTTGAAAATACCTTTGATAATAGTGCTATCAATATTTATAAGTCGTTGTATGATCAAAATAATGTAAATAGTCCAAGATAAACAGAATGCAAGCCCAGACATTACTCTATATCCCCACATAAACAGAAATTTATGTACTGTAGAAGCCTAGGAGGAGGCAGTGGTGGCACCAGGATTTTCCAAAGAGAAGGTTGTGGGTGGCAGACAATGTCCCAGATTGGTAGGCCAATTTCTCTGATGAAAGCATAAGTAAGCGAGCTTGCGTAGTAATCATCGGGTTTAAAGACCTGGGTGATTGATAGTTTATTACTGTACTCATCTGATGAAGCCCCATTGACTAGGGCGAAAGCTTGAGAAATGAAATTCATTGTTAGTCAAAAAAGTGCTACCTACTCATTTTTTCATTTATTATTTAAGAATTTAAAAAATAAAATGCAATTTGTGTTTTGTGTACAGTATTTTATTAGTTTTTGGAGTTAACTTATTCATATAATTTTTCTGCTGATTTTTATATACTATCAGTGTCATATTTTAACATGGTTTTTTTTTTTGTACTTATCAGACAAAGATGTTGGCTGCCATACATATCATGACAAAGGAGTTGGTGGTAAGCAGACCATGTTTCATTCAAAGTGTCTATTTTTAGTGACTGTAATGTAAATCATGAATCTAAATTCAAGAGATATCTGTAATTTCATGTATAATACATACTTAAAATTTGTTTTCTTAAAATTGTACAAAATAATGTTAAACCATGAATGATAATACAGTACTCATAAGGGCCATATGAAGCCATCAAAATGTAAATATATACAAATAAAAAACAACAAACTGCACTAATAATAATAAGAAAATAAATGAATATGTATAATTCCTTGTGATAAACCAATTATTACTCACTGTTTTTTGTTGTTGACAGTTTCGCCTGGCTATCAGTCAGGCTTGTCAGAATCTGTGAAGGGTTTCCGCCGATACTCGATGGTAGCGGGCCGCTCTAGCCGTCTTTAATAGTTGCCTCTCACACCTATATGATTCCAATTGAAGACCACTTTTGCAACAAGGGTTTCCGTGGTCTTTAGCAGCTTTGATCTCGCATTAGAACAATGAATATAAAAGAAATTTGTTAATTTGGGACCACGGAAAAGTGGTCTTTAATTTCAGGGGTTTTAAATTTTATTGTATTTACTGTATTAAATTTTTATACTGACAAGATAATTTTTTCTTTTGGCTGGTCCTTAAAATTCAAATTGGAATCTTTGGATGTGTCACTACGAACCTACAAAACCCACAATGCAGTACCAACTAAGTAATAGACACAAATGAAAATCATTGTCCTTAAACCAACCAAACCCTGTGAAGGTTATTCAAAGATTAAATAAAGTTCCACAAAGTGCACATCAATTATTGACTGACAGATTTTTTTTTTAAATTGGCTGAAAAGCATGAGGCAGGTAAAAACTTCAAAAAAGAATTAATGAAAATAAAAATACATTACTAATGTTACCATCAGAAATATCCTTATATGAGCAATTCTTAAATTTACATTGTTCTTTTGTCAGCGTGCTTTGCAATGACTGTCGTAACACAGGAATACCACATATACCGTGTATTACATGCATTTTGAACCAATGCTCTGACGTGCAATAAACCTAATTACCTTTTTCTTATACACATCTAGATGTGTATAAGAGACAGATAATACAGTACTCCTCTTGGTGCCATTCCAAAAAAGAGATTATTAAAACAGGTGTGTCTTGAGGATATGTATTTACCGTTGTCTGTCTGTTAGCAAGATTACACAAAAACTAATGAATTGATCATCATAAAATTTAGTGGAGTGGTACATAATATTAAAAGAAAGAGGTGATTAAATTTTGAGGAAAAAAATGTGATGATGACATAATTAATGTCGAAATATTGAATCCCAACACGATGGCGTGTATTTCAATACTTGGAGTATGTATTATACTTTCTTAAAATGTCAACGTCATGGTCACAGAAATTTGTTTCTCCCCTCCCTCCCCCTTCCTTTTGAACATAAAAGAACATAATGGAAAGGCCTGCCTGTTTGTACTGTTTGGTACTGTATTCGGGCACAGTACGGAAAATAATGGAATCGACCCAGCATACACAGCCTGTATATTGTTCGGTATTCAGGGATATGGCAGAGGTATGCAATCTATGGAGTGTCGGCTCTAGTTTTAGTGAATGTAACAATTACCACCGCAGTGTTCTCCCGAAGCCGTTTTAGCTGTCAATTTTACCAGTAAAAATAACTGACCAACCAGTAAAAATTGTGTGTTGCTAGAATAAAAAAGCACATTATTAGGCCTAGGTTGACTAGGCTGGCCTTCTTTCAATAAACGAACATCATTCCTTTCCAGGCCTAAGCTATGATTACGTATTATTGTTTTTTTAAGCCATTTAAATCCACTTAAAATTGGCAATATCTGAAGTTGTGTGCGCTTAGCTGGCTCTATATGGACAAATTTACCAGTAAAAATGTTTCAATTGGGAGAACACTTCACCGCTCTCTTTCCAAACTCCATTGTCTCTGTGGTACTGGATGTCAACAATGAGGATGCTGATTTGAAAACTGAAAGTAATGAGTGAACAACTTTTTTAATAAAACCATTCATTTCATTTTTATTTTAAAGGTAGAGATTTAATCTGGACTCCAAAGAATAGAAGGCCGGAAAAGCTGCGCGACGCTATCAAGGAAGCCGAAGTAAGAAAAATTTTCAACAAACATTTATGTGTAACTAAAAAATAAATGGATTAAAGATGTATTGTCCGTGAAAATGGCAAAAAGTCATAAAAAATTATTTTGAAATTACTTGCTCAGTTTGCAGTAGCATTCAAATTATTAACTTGAGTATAGAAGTTATTGAGTTTAAAAAATGTGTACCCTGATTTTTATTCTAGATAAATATTATTAAAAATAATAACTGGTGTAATTACTGGAAGTGTTTCTATAATTTTTTGTTATGAAAAATATGGGTAAACATTTTTTAAATACACTAATTTATATGATATGATTTTTGTGGTATTTTGTATGGGACAGTACGTCTTTAATGTTTTGTGTCTGAATGTTTAATTAATATCATTTTTATCCATTGTTTACATTTAATAGTTGTTATTTATTAGATCCTCTTATCCTGTTTTTGCATTATTACTCAGTATAGTTTTTAAACTGCCGACTTACAATTTAAATACAAAATATCTTTTTTAGCTCCGATGAGCTCTAGAAACAATTGGCTGATTGATTAATCTGATTTATTAATATATCTTTTTTGTATGGGCACCCATTATGGCCAATATACTCTACTGCCTCTATTATACTGCCCTCATTGGAGCTCTGGAGATTACCTGTACAAGAACGTGTTATTTATTGTAGAATGTTTAAGTGTCATCAAAAATTAGCAATATTTCATCATCACTTTTCATATCTGTATTAACAGGATTTACTTACAGCTAATGAGTGTGTTGTGACACGTTGGAAAACAAGAAGACAACTTCAGGTACCTATAATTATGACTTATTTTAATTGATTGATATATTATAAAATAACGATTTCTAAATAATTATGCATAACTAGTACTAGAAATTTACTTGCAAGTTGGAAGAAATATAACTAGAATATGATTTGTCCAACTAGCAAAATAGAAAAACTGATATATCTATATTCAATTTGCTCATTGTTCAGACATATTTAATAATATTTTATATACTCATTAATTCTCTTAAATTCTTCAAATTCCGGTCACTTGTGAAGTTGAATAGCTTAGTGGTTAAGATGCTTAACCACCATATCACCTACAGAAGTGCAACTACAACCGGTCATTATTTAAAGGTCGGACCAGAAGGTTGACCTGGACTGGTTTGGCCATTGGGAGACTGCTTAGAACCAGTCCACTTCAGCCCTAATTGTTAACTGACCAGCAACTCTTGTCTGGTGGTCATGTCTTGGTGTCTCTGCCCTTTGACCTGCTTGGCATGGGTGACTACTGGCAGCACTTGCTTCCGTCAGCATAGCAGCTCTCAAGGCAAGGAGGACAAAGACCAGTAGGCTAGATGATCAGAGGGAAACTATTAATTCAGTTACAACAAGACCGTATACCAAGGTTGATTTTTAATTATTATGTTATATATCTGGTTATTGTCTAGATTCTTTTAAAGAACTGTGTACTTATAACGTTCCAAGTGTCTTCCCATTCTGGTGATGTTGAACGAATCCTTGTGGACAAGACGTTGCAGGGCAAGCTGTGCAGTGATTCCATTAGTCATGGTCAGTGGTTTGGTCGTTAAGGTGCTTAATTGTGGCAAAAACAACTCCACTTTTCCAAGCCTCATGTAGAGACATGGAGGTGGTTGAAATCAATGGGTGATGATATTTTTTATGAGGGCTGTACCACTGAGAGGGGGGAGCAGGCAGACCCAGGCTAATAGGGTGAACATAATAAGAACAGTAATAAGAAAATGCCTTACAACTACTCTATAACCATTTAAAATAAGTCTGAATATGTACTGGCCAAATCTTTTGTGGTATACTGTGAAACCTTTAATAGAAGCCATGGGCTCTTTATTTTTTGCGAACTTTGGATAGATTTCTTCTCGAGATTGGCTTCTTTTCGAGGCTACTTTTTCAAAATATAGAGAAGGGCTTCTTTTCAAAATGAATGCTGTAAATTTTGGGAATTATTGTGACATCAGTTTGTATCATGGAATCATTTTTTTATATATATTTTTTTATTTGAAATTCATGCACAGTGTATGTACTGTACTATCTAAAAAAAAAAGAGTGTGGGCTTCTTTTCAAGTCTACTTTCTTCAAATTAAAGAGGAGGGCTTCAATTTCAGATCTCCATTGGGCTTCTATTTAAGGTTTTATGTTAGCTCCCTGACCCCCGCCTGGGCCTTGTACCTCTGACCTCAAGTTTTGAGAGCAAATATTGTAGATACAAAGAATGATGGTGATGACTTCATTAACCTTTATATGTAATATTTTTGTTTCTCAGCTCATATAACAGATAGCTACATTGTGTGTACGTTTCCTGACAAGTCCAGACTTGGTCTTGTCTACTTCAACAAGAAGCCACCGTCAGGGAATGACCCAAGTAAGAAGATGGAAAAGCTCTCAAGTTTTGACCCAAAGGTCAGGAGAATAATATTGGTCTTCATATAATCAATGCATCATTTTCATCTATTATGTTATTATTGTATTATTAAATCCGCTCAGATTGGCAACGGCATTTCGTCCTCAAACGCTCACAGACAGCGAAGATTAATTAGTCAGCCGGTTGTACAGTGTGCGTCTGGCTTTATAAGCAAGTGTAATGTCACTATATTTTAACTTGTTCAAAAATAAGAAATACTTGAAAAAAAAATCAGTATATTTATTAAAGAGTGTTGAATATTTCTGTTTTCAGATTTCCTACATTGACCTTCCTGGGTCAAAAGTTCGGAGGCCAGAGCGATGTCTCACTGTCAATGTTAACCTCGAATGGGTAAGTTTCTATTTTAAAAATCTACAGAATAGAAAACACTGGGAGTGTGTCTCATGTGAGGGAAAAATGATTGAAAAAGAATTTAGAGACTTTGGTCCTAAAAAAATATGAGAAAATAAATTTCAGCATCAAAAAGGGATGAAATGTATGTATGTGTTAAGATATGAGAGCAGCATAGCTCAGTTGGCAAAGCATGTGGTAGGCACTGTGTGTGCGCTTAACCGTGGAGATCCATTGTTAACTTTTGTAACCCGGTTTAATTCCATTCGCTATCCTTGTGTTTTAAATAGCGCACTGAGATACCAGTATAAAAAAGTGCAACGTCTTCAGGGGTGTTTTTTTTAGGATTTTTTCTGGCTGGGTCGTGATCTTAATTTTTTTTTACCTTTTCACAATGAAATGACAGCAAGATGTGATTAAAATTGTCAATACAATTTGCTTGAAGCAGATGGCAGGCTCAGTTTCAGAATTGCTGGAATTGAGATAGATTACGTTGTGCAATTGGCAAGGTCTTTGGACTCATTGCTGGTACCTCATCAATGCTTTTTCATTTATGTCATTGTCAAAAGGCCCTAGAAAAAAAGTCTTTGTAAAAAATGTGGGCCTTTTAAAATTTGGGGGGGGGGGTCGTACGACCTTCCTGACTGCCCCTTGCATATACCCATGGTCTTTCAGATGAGACATTTAAGATATCGTTTCCCTGTGCAGTATGACACATGTGCACACTTCACAATACACTAAATTACTACAAGAATCTTAAAATTATAATAAAATCAAATTGTTTTTGTATAGATTGTTGTGTGGTGGTCAATGACTGGACAAGAAGCGTTGCCATGGACACCGGCATCCAATGAGAGAGATAGAGCAAACATTGTCATGTTCAGTGCTTATGGGTAATACGTTTTAGTTATTACAATTTTTTTGTTAAATACTGTTACTAGTTATTATACTTTTCTTTCTTTGTTACCATCTTTTAAATTGTTATTTTTATTCGTTTGTACTATTTAAAATTGAAATCTAAAATTGGAAATTCTGGCTGGACTTTTGGAGACTTGCGGCAGCCACAGTGCAGTGGCAGTACTGACATGTAAGAGATACATTGACCCTTAAATCTCACCTAACTCTCGTGCAAGAGTTATTCGAGGAACAGAGCGACCGGACTCCAATTGAAACCCGATGCTGGCCAGGTTTGAACCTGGATCTTCAACGCAAAAAGCAGGAACGTTTACCTTTCAACCAAAAGCAAAGCTATATATAGTTTATATGTTACATAGAGCTGGATAATATAGTACTTAGGACTGGGGGTAACCACTGTGTGTGTATGTATTCTTGGTGTTTTAATTCTCAAAGCTGCACAACCTCTAAAATACAGGTTTATAATTCAATGTCTTTTTGAAAAAGAAGCTGTTACACCGTGCACTCATTGCTTCATGCGACGGTCTTAATCCAACTCTGCTCTCTGTGAACGTTAGACGGCGCATGACGCCTTCTGTTGATTGTCAATGGAAGTCTGAGCTGATCGACGTTAAAAATGATCAGTTACGTGCACATCGTGGCGTCATTTTCTCCATACAATTACATCGCAGCGAACGCCCAGCTTTATTCCAGTGTGCAACATGGGTCATGGGCACTAGAAAGTACCATACTGTACACTCTTTGAAGGATGTAATCCCAGTAGAATGCCCAGCCTAAATCCCAGTAGAATGCCCAGCTTAAATTTTTTTAACAATGACCAGCTCAACTGGTTCAATGACATGTTTTGTAGCTTATCGCATTGAGTTACTCCTATAGTAGAAGTTACATTGATCATCATCTAAATGATGTCAGATAAATGAAAACTGCAATTTTGTTTGTTTTGGTTTTTTTTTTTAGTGGCAAGTTGGAGGAGTTATGTTTCATCGCTACAGATTGTGACCCAGTCAATGTTGCTTTCAGGTAAGTAAGTTGATGATGTGGGAGTTGATGCAACAGCTGCGATTAGGTTCTCAATTTTGACATCTGGGCTTCAAATTCCACTCTCAATTTGGATGTGTCCCCATGAAATTTGATTCATGTTTTTTTGATTCATGTTTTTTCTCTTTCTAACTCGGAATATAGGAATATAAAGGGGTAAATTGTAGAATGTGTGTAGTGTTAAAATTAATGTGGTACGTGCTCAATGTATTGATCAATGGCATCAGATACTCCCAGCCAGCAGAGAGCATTTTATGTTGTGCATGTTTACCAATAAGTATAATAATAATAATAATAATAACAATAATAGTTGTATTTGTATACTTTTGTAGACTTAGCGTTCACACCCTCTATAATCAGATGATTCTATCCCTTTCTACCAGTGGGCAACTCCCTTATTTCTCTTTATTAAGCTGTCTTCATATTATATCGATATAGCACATCATGCAAAAAGCCTCTATTCCCTTGGTGATTGAGTTCTTCAAGTTTGATATTTTGGTAGTGGGAATAAAAAATATGTAGGCCTAGCCCTATAATACTAAACCTATTCCTTATGATGGTAACATTTTAAGTGCTCTTATTGGTTAAGTAAATTCAAAGTAAAACTTTCATTAATTTGGTATTAAAACATTTTTAAAATATACATTACAAGAAAATCTCTAAAGTTATTGTTCAATATTAAGTAGTCAAAAAGAACTATGTGAAAACAGCATTATATTAATTATTTAATAAATATTTTGTTTACCGTCTCTGTTTTGATGTTTTTAACTTTCTAAGGCTATTTTTAAATTTCTTATGTATGTGCAATTCAACTGTTTTTAGTTGCGAATAAAGTATATTGTATTGTATTGTATTGTATCATATAAGTGAGCTAATATATATGTGAAAGCAAATCAAGACACATGGTGGTAGCAGCTACAAAAAAAAAATCAAATTTTTTATATCTTAAATATTGTTGGTCAACGAGAAAAAAAAACATATCTTAAATATTGTTTAATGCAATTATCTATTTTATTACTTTTATTACAGTCGTAGCCAACCTAGACATATACATACTCTAGAAGTGTCATCACAAGCTACAGATGACATCAGTATTGATACCTGCATCTACGAGTGCTCCAAGTCAAAGGTATAATTAACATTAGCCAACTTTATATACAGTAAAAGTAGTTGTGTACCCATGTTAGTGTAAACAGTCATAACAACAATATAAAGAGGCAGCACTCTGAGACTACGAGAGGAAAAAAAGTCAATCAAAGAACTCTAAAACTAACGTAAAGTTGTTTTTTTTTAATTCAGCATGAGCTTCCGCTGGTGGTTGATGCCAGCTATCTCACGTTTGTAACCTAGAAAATGAAAACTAAGATATACATATCTATATATATATATATATATATATAAAAATCATAAACAAAAAAAAATCATAAACAAAATCATAGACAAAAGAGTTTCCCCTTAAGAGCTATATTTCTGTTCAATCAAACATACTGCATGTGTTTGTTATAAGAACAAATGGTGGTACTATATAATTTAGGACAATATTGTAATAACATACTGTATACTTCATGTAATATATTGCAATAAACTGCTTCTATGCACTTCAAATTATTACCTATTACCTCGTTCACTGGATCAAAAACATGTGGAAAACATCCTCATATAACCTAATATACCTCTTCACTGTGTGTTACATGCTTGTCATTAAGTTTTTTTTTTATAATCAAGATAGTGTCACCATTCTTGTCCTATTTTTAGATGTATATGTAATTTACAAAATGTGTTTCTGTTATTAGATTCAACGGGCAACTGTGACAACAATCCCATTAAAGGGTAAGTTAAAGATGTTTTTTTTTTATATGGAACTCTATTTAAGGTGCTCTTTGATAGAGGGCACTATTAAAATATTCGCTTTGATAGAGAGTGCTATTTAATATTTTATTTGATAGAGGGTGTTATGTAACTTGATCAATTAAAAAAGATTGGGTGTAAATTGCAAGGTTTAAATACTCAAGCAATACATTGATCTGATCCAACCAGACCTAGAAAGCTGGCACTCTTGTACAACCATGGAAAGCATTTCCTTGCATACAGATATCCCCTGTCGTATCTCTGATCCTAGTCCAACCATTTCTAATCCAACCATTCCTAATCCAACCATTCCTAGTCTAACTATTCCTAATCTAACTATTCCTAATCCAACCATTCCTAATCTAACCATTCGTGATCAAAACATTCCTGATCCAACCATTCCTAATCTAACTATTTCTAATCTAACTATTTCTAATCCAACCATTCCTGATCCATCCATTCCTGATCTAACCATTCCTTATTCTAAATATTTGTAATCTAACTATTCCTAATCCAACCATTCCTGTTCCAACCGTTCCTGATCCAACCGTTCCTGATCTAACTATTCCTTAATCCAACTATTCCTTATCTAACTATTCCTAATCCAGCCATGTTCCGAATACAGGCATTCCTAATCCATCCATTCATGGCTAGTTGGCACCCTTTTCTTGTGAAAAGAGGCAACCCGGTATTTCTTTCACACTGACTCATCCAATTCTGGCATTCTTTTGCAACCATGACCTACATATACTTGTGTACAGATATGTATTCTTATAATAACTCGCGTCCTACTGTTTATTTCCTTTAGCTGCTGTCACAACATTTGGAAGGAATCATTCAGATGATAAGTTGGTGCTAGGCTGTGAAGATGGACGTCTTGTAAGTAACCAGAATCAACATTTTATGTATTGTAATTTTAATGTACACATGCAACAGTAGCATGCGAAGTTAGCATTGTTCAAGCTTTGTGTGGACTTTTGACATATTGAGCAGAGTGGTTTAACTATAGAGTACCACAGTCATGTCGCCACGATGCCAAGTGCCATTCTCTGTTGTCGACAGACGTAGGTTACCTTTCATTACACGCCTGAATGACTTCATAGGCTTTCTGGAATAGGCATTTTAAAATCTAATATTTTACCATCAAAATGTACTAAAAACACAAAAGCTCACATTATATTGGTTATCGAACACACATTTAATCAGCAATTAAAATTTACAAAGAAAAAGTAAGATACAACATCTTAATAATTACGTTTGAAATTGGGATCAATGGTTTGTCAGTGAAGAAAATGGCGTCCAGTTGAACGCATTTTGCAACGATAGCAATGTAGTAGTATCACATGGTATTGTGACGTAACACTGTAGTACTCTATGTGACTACAAGGAAAAGCACTCAATAAGTACAGTAACAAGTAACAACATTGACTCCATATAGGGTTGTAGCTATACAAAACTAAGGGGGTTTGGTGATAGACATTTTAATGGTGGGTAGGTGATAACTTTGGTATACTCTAAATAATACGAGTGTAGTGTTCTCCCTAGCATCATGGGCAAGCGTCATGGTAAGTGTTTAGTCCACCATAGTTGGGACTGACACAAGGTATCTTGTATCGTAATAATTATGAGGCATTGAAATGTCCTAAAAGACTATATAAAAGCAGGGAACAGTTAAATAATTTAACTGTTCCCTGATAAAAGCATCATGGGAGATGTTCCAAGCATCATGGCCAAATGTCAAGCATCATGGGGAAAGTCCCAAGCATTGGGTACCATGATGCTTCAATGGCCTGGGGAGAACACTGAGAGTGGATTTTAAGGATGGAAAAGTGGGTTAATAATGGTGATTGGAGGGCCATGAAATTAGCTTTAGACTGGGTAGACAACTTCAAGGCTGGGTGGCCCCCGCCTACCATAACTACATCCCTACCTATACAAAACTACACTGGACTCCATTCTAAATAATATTAAACATCTCTCCCCCCCCCCCATGGAACAATAGTAAATTAATAAGTAGTAACATTATTGAAATTGTATTAAGCATTGTTTGAAGGTTTGCATGGCGAAATAATAACATATATGTTGACGTTTGCAGTACACCACGAAAAGAACTGTTGTAGTTTGATCATATGTGCAACAAACATGTCTGATTTAGACTGTGCTACTTGAAATTTCTCGGTTAATAAATTTCTAACTAAAAATTAGAATAGCATAAGGTTATACTTGATAATATAGGAACATTTAAATGATATTATTTCTAAAATCCTTGTACAAATTTAAATATTAGACAGCAAATTTAAAGATTTACGTAGTAAAACATCTCTAAATGATAATGATAATGGTAAGGATAATGATGATAATAATAATAATATAAATAATGATAATAATAATAATAATAATAGTAATATTAATAATAATAATTGAAAACTTTTATTACAATTTTATATGGTTCTTTTTCAGGTTTTATATGATGATCACAAACGTCTGACACAATTTGTACAGTCTGCTCTGGTAAATACAGATTTTACTTTATTAATAATAGGATGTTGTATGATGCCATTGTATTTCATGAATATCTATGTTTGTCATGAATATGTATACTGACCATAAATATGTATGTTAGTTATGACTATTCGCCAAAGCAACAACTAATAACTGTTTTTATTTTTGTATGTGGATGCAGATGCCAAGCCTGGTACAGTGGCATCCAGGTGGTAGCGTGCTATTTGTGGCAGGATCTGGCGCTGAAATACAGGTAAATACATCCCCAACGATGGTGATTAAAGCCTTCCACCACAGTGATATTTGAAAACCAGGGCCTAAGATTAATTCCTGTAGTTTTAAAGCAACAATTTACATTTTCCTTTCAGGTGTTTGATATGGCTCTGAACCCCCTCACCATTCTCTCAGTTGGTGAGGACCCCAGACCAGCTCAACTACTAAATCTAGCAGCATTCTTCAGGTAATTTTATTTTATCATGACCTTTGTCTTTAAGCTCTTTTCAATTAAAATGTGCCTTGTTTGTTTTTGTGGTCAGATCATGCTTCTGTTAAAAATGTACCCCCTGTCGTGGGCTAAGAAAAATGAAAAAAATCAATTACATACTTGAATGGGCATGGGTTGCCGAAAATTGATATGAAAAAAAAAACATGGGTAACTTAGAGTTGACCAAACATAGGTACAAGTTTTCAGTAATGCAGCATTCACATTTCATCGTTTGATGCACATTTGCATAGGGTCGAAAGTATGACTTGTTTAAAGCAGCATATCTCATTGGAATCAAGTCATCGGTAATTTTTGTTGGTTATATTCACGCCAAAATACTACATTCATGTTTTGAATTCCTTATGACTGAACAATTTTATTATTCATCTTAACAGAATGTCAGTGACCATCAATGCAATGGAGTGGAGTAAGCCTAGTGGTTCCCATGACTACATAGTGGATGCCCATGACATCATGATGTTGTTATTTGATAGGTACAAATCAACTGAATTATTTATATACTTTATTTCATCATTTATGTCCGTTAGCACAAAACTGGACAAACTTAAACTTAATATTTTGATTAATTTATGCCTTTTTAAAATTTTAGTGACAATTTTCTAATATAAATTATTGTAAATAATTGTTTTTATAATTAACACATTTACTTAATTGTTTGTGAATTCCGTACTTTCCCATTTTTTTATTTGTACAGTAAGTTAAATATGTATTTGTGTTGTGTTTTTTATTGTATTGCTTTTTGAGAATTTGTTGTTATTCTTCAATTTTGTTTGTGAAATTGCAAATAAAGAACATTTGAATTTTATTTTTTAATTTGTCAACTTTTTAAAATATATGTTGAATTTTCCTAATGTAGTCACCTATTAAAATTAAATAGTAAATTATTTTATTTATTAAATTTATATCTTATATACTGAAAATTTTAAAAATAAAATTGAATTACCTAATTTTTATATCAAGAAGTTATTAGCTGTCAACAAAAAACTCGAATGAGAAAAAGATGTCCACTTTTTTAAATTTTTTTTCGTGATTTTTTTGGGTGGTACAACAGTAGTATATTTTGAATTTATATAATTATCTAACAATTTTTTATATCAGAGCAGCTGTACATAATATTATTGTCATTGATTCTTCCAGGGGTCCAGTGTGTATGTTACAGCTTCACTTAGGGGTGAAAAGTCGTGGTAAGCTAGGCCCTAAGGAGCTGATACAGCACTACCTAGACCATAAACAGATTGAAGAAGCTGTTAACCTCCTGAATGCCCTTAACTGGAACACAGAGTCAACTAGTTGCTTCTCCTGCCTAACAAAAGTTGTCAACTACTTACTGCGATTGCCTTTAAATGCTCAGAGGGAGGGTGAGAAATTTGTTTTATTGTTTTAAGCCGGGCGCTCACAGTGTTGTGCGACGGTCACATGACCGTCACACAACGTATCCAACTCCGCTCTCTGTGAGCTCTAGACAACGCGACGCCATCTGCTAATTCGACCTTGGCAGACTAAATAGATCGTCATTAAAAAGCGATCCGTAGTGTGCACATCGTCGCATTGTGCCCTTCATAGAGTCACGTCAGCCGACGACGGTCGGGCGCAGTTTGTACCCGGCTTTAGATGTGTTTAGCATATTCGCAGAAATACGTATGCAGCAACTTACACTCCATGCCCTCCTCCAAACATCTTTATGGATATAATAATAATAATAATAATAATAAAAATAATAATAACAATATAGAGATTTATACCGCACACTTTGCAAAGGGATGCAAGACGATGTTTTTATTATTACCCCTTGTCATTTGGGTGCATAATTTGGCAAACTGGCACACAGTGCAACCTCCTCCACTCCCTGGGGAGTATTCCTAGTCTTTGCTTGCTATTTAATGCCAATACGGACTGGTACATTCAAATCATCCTCTGAGGTACCTATTTTTTACTCCTAGATGGAGAGAGATAAAGGTATGTAAAGTGCCTTTCCCAAGGCCTCAAGCGAAATTCACAGCGAAGGTTAGAACCTCCGACCACAAGGTTAAGAGAGAGAAACACAGCCGCTGTATCAACTGCTCCCTGGTATATATTTGTGGTATATATTCGTGGCAAAGCTCTGAAGTTATCCATTTAGTGGATGAGTTCAGAGTGGCTTTGAAGCTTTGATTTGAGTTTTCTCTTCCCATCATGTGTTATAATTTGTACTTAGAGTGGGGTTTTCTTTTGTATTTTATTTCTTTTCTGGTTCGTTCGTATATATTTCACACGTCCCAGTGATATTCATGTAAGAAAATCAGATACTGCAGAGGACTGTAGCACACCTTTGGCAGTTATCCAGTTTGTAGTAGTAGTATATTTTTTTTGCTGAATGCTTCATTAACTAGAGCAGTCACTCTATACAGTGAATACCTCCGCCTGTGCCTGGATACCAAGTAATACACAGGCTATGTATGGCTGATTCCTTTACAGTATTTTTTTTTATGCTCGAGAGAGTAAGTTCAAGGAAAAATTGAATCTCTGCAGTTTGGCACAGTGGGAACGGTTTGGTTTTCCAACCTCGAGGTCGTGGTTTCAATCCCTCGCTGTGCATTTCGCTTGTGTCCTTGAGCAAGGAACTTTATCTGCATTGCTTCTCTCCACCCAGGAGTGTAAATGGGTACCTGGTGGGGTTGCCTGCTCCTGAGCTGATTACCAGCATCAAGACTTAATAGCATGTAGACCCAATGACCAGGGAAAATAACTGTGCTTTATAACCTCAAGGAAGAGGTGCATTATAAATGCCCATACCAGTACCAGTACTAGTACTTTGACCTTTCCCTCCCAAAATTTAGTCATCTCTTTCTTCAAATATTATGTACCACTCCACTATGCTGATGCATTCATTAATAATTTTTGCGTAATCTTGCAAACAGACAGATAGACGACAGACAACCTGCGGTGAATGCATTATTCCTTGGTATTATTAAGGTCTTAAATAAATAAACTGTGTTGAAATTCAGATGTTTATTACTTTGTTATATCTTTCGCATTTAAAAAATCGTTTATTTTCAGCTGCACTCGAGACCTCTCTTGGGAGCTTCTATGCACCTGTTCGTCCAATATCGGAAGTAATCGTCATTGAATATAGAGACCCTATCAGTCGACTAGCAAGGCGCTTCTTTCATCAGCTACTAAGGTAACTTTCTCCTTGTCTTCTTAGTTTACATAACCATTAATTCAGTGAATGTCAGCCTACTCGGGGGCTATGTTCACTACATACCAGTTAAATAACTTATAAAAATTTATTGGATTAAAGGTGGAAATTATTTGGTGCAATAAATCTAATGTAATGAGGCTGTTGGATATACAGTATTTGAAAAGGGCAAACAGGGCCTCTTTTTTATACGATTTTTTTTTAATTAGCTGTTTTAAACTTTTTTTTCTATACCTTGTAACTGTAATGATGTTTTTTTGTATATGGATGTATAAATACATATATATTTAATAAAAATATTTTTTAAATATAAATGATTTTTATTTAAAAATTAAAAGTGAAATTTAATATACAAATAATTTTTTAAATTTTAATATACATGTTAATACATATAAATATTTATCATGTTTTTTATATACAAAAGTATATAAAAGTATGTTTCCTTCTTCCAATGATTATATCTGGTCTTATTCAAGAGAGACCAGTGAATTCTGTGCTCTATACTGTACTATGTTTATTTATGCATGCATACATTGTATAATTTAATATACATAATGTATTTTTATATACAAGGATTAAGGTAAGTTTTCTACTTTCAACAATTGGAACAATTCCATCAATAACTGACATATCTTGTGGCATAATCTGAAGGACAGTGAATAGAATTGAAATAGATGTTGAACTCTGATAGATAATTTTTTTACTTCATATAAATCAAAGTTTTCAGCAGCAATGTTGTTCAAAGAGATATAAATCAGAGCTGTTATCAGTCAATGTGTCTACTGTCTGGGTGCTACCCTGGCCTTGATCAAATTCTTGTCAAGTTTGTTGTGATTTTAGGCTCCTTCTGACAACATCGCAGCTTGCCCTTATCATGAAAGCAACAATGAAAATATACAATACTTCATTCTCGGGGTCATTGACCTACTATGTCCCAATTCTTGAGTGGGAAACATTTTTGTTGTACATACAATAAAATCTGTCTGATAAACATTCACACATATTTATGGTGGTAGCTTTGGTAGAATTGTTAAGCTGCTTACTTCTGATTTTAAGGTCTTATGTTCAACCCAACGTAGAACCATGTGTTCAGTCCTTATCAATGACTGGATTTTTTCTCACAACCACAACTTAAGCTTAGTTGTTGTATAGCGTCATGCGTATATTATATTTGTCTTGTGGAAGGGATTTCCAGATATATTACATTTTGCCCTTCAATTCGAGACACTCATTGGGACCTGAAAATTTGGGGTGGTCTCAGGATTCAGTCACCACATAGAGGGTTAGCTTAGTGTTGAAGGATGGAAAATTATTTGGTTCTTTTTTCAAATTGGAGGGTGCACTTTTATAAGACAAAGAATACTTTTTCCTTTGACAGTCGTTAGCATATTATAAATAAAACAATAATCTAGGATTTTTGTCAGAACTACAAGGTTGACTACTGTCCAAGCCTCATTAAGGCACTTGTATATAAAACATCAAGGGGCCAAAATTGATTTATTTAAAAGCTCATGCAAGAGCAGGAAAATCCCCAACTTGCAGAATGGAACTTAAGAAAGATATTATACAATTATGAATATTAAAATTTAAAAATTGAAATACTTTAAACAATCTTAATAATTTTGCTACAAAAACATTGAACATTTTTGAAAGGTTAACTAATCTGAGACAAAACCATTTTTAGTGAGATTGACTCTATGGGACGTTAACTACTCTGCATTACTGGAATTTTTACCATCATTTAGCATATTTTTAATAGTCAGTGATATGATGATAATATATTACACAACCACAAAAGGAAAACACGAAGCAGGGTACTCACTGCCGCTGGCGGTCGATGGCTGACGTGATTCCATGAAGAAAACAATGCCGCATCGCGCGCGCTACATATCGTTTTTAATAATGATGCGCAGGCAGTGTTGCGTCTACGAACACTCACAGGGAGTGGTGTTGGATTTGTACCTTGAATGTACCTTTCCGCTAAGTCCCGCCCCTTGGTAATATTGTTGCTAAGGTGCCACAAAACATTAGCATAAATGTACGTATGTGCATTTGTGAGGCAGCACGTGTGTTTGTTGATCACACGCGCATTCCTGGCACTGTTCTGATTGGTCAGTTGTTAAATTTTTATTGGTACTCCAGAAATGTCGATTATATCATCAGCAAATAAATTTTTTAGCTATGAAATCATAAAATCTTGTTCTCACTTCTAAACAACTGCACCCAAATTAGGAGCATGAAATACAGTTTTGGCACCATCATATCTGGCAAGTGTCACAGTTAATGGTTGTTTTGAAATTAATATTGGTGGTGGTATGGTGGTGTTGGTGATTATTATAGTGGTATTATTGGTATTTGTGCTGGTAACAATAATGTTATATTAATTATATATTATACAGTATAATATATCTCAACAACACAACAGTTATTTTCAGAACTATCTATGTGGTGCACTTAGTTAATCAATTAGTAATTGGTGCTCAATTAGTAATTTTAATATTCAATTTTAACTTTTACAATTTTTTTATTTTTAATTTTAAATTGGCCTATGTTTACCTATTTTATATATTTTACTATATATTCTAAACCTTGCCAGGTCACTATCTGTAAATATTCGCTCTTGTGCAATAATTACCCTGGCTTCTGGACCCCATTGGAAATAAGTCTGGTGTACAATCACTAGACTTAATGGGTCATCCAGGCATTCAATTATTACTCATCTCCTTTTTTTATGTTCGTTCTCAAAATGTTATTGTTATGTGTGTGATATTTGAATGCAAAATAAATCAAATAAAAATTAGCAGGGAGCCCGAAGTCCCCGATTAGGGGGACAAAGTCCATGACGAGAGCAAAGTAAGTGTGGTCGGGCGTTGCTCAAAATATTCTGAAAATAGTCCAGGGGCGAAGCCCCTCGAAAATTTTGACAATTTAGGGGTTTCAAAGCCTTATTTAATCGATTTTAGAGTCTACTAATATTTCTCCCCGACAAATCGTGGTGGTGGGGGTGTTCTCCCCACGACTGGGAGTCCTGGCCCTCACTGGTCCCACCCCTGGCAAGTCTTCAAACAACAATAGTGTTGTTGGTGGTATTTGTAGTATTGGTTTTTGTGGTATGGGATGATAATTGTGGTGGAGATCCGGTGGCATTTTCGGTATTGGTGATATTGGTGGAGGTTGTGGTGGTGGTTGTAAAACAGGGTAATCATGATGTTGGTGATATTAATGATGGTTGCACTTCTGTTGGTGATAAAGTAATTGGTGTTGTTTGTTTGTGCTGGAGATACTAAATGTTGTAGCACTGTTTTTGGTGCTGATGATGGTGGTGATACTGGTTGATTTATAATTATGGTGATGTTGATAATTTTGGTCATGGTGACGGTACTCATTTGGTGGTAGTGCTGTTGGTGGTGATACAAATATTAAAACTAATCTTCTGCAAATCTTATCTTCAAGTGAGTTAATATGAACTTATTAATTTTTCTTCTTCTCTGTTGTTGTTAAGCGCCTCGAGGTTGTGTCAACGTGAGGCGCTATATAAATCCAGAATTATTATTATTATTAATATCAAATGGATATTTAATTCTCTTTGTCTTTTTTTCTGCAGATATAAAAGATTTGACAAGGCATTTCTTCTTGCAGTTGACCTGCATTCTAGAGATTTATTTATGGTGAGTGATGTTCATTTTAAAACAATTGTCTCAGAATATACTAATGATTTTTGGTTGGTTAACATTTTGTCAGTGACTCCAGAAAGAGACACAAAAGTTAATTTTTGACAAAAAAAAATTTGAGAATATCGTGTTCACAACTACAAAAATGTAAATTTTGATATTGGAATTTGAAACATTTTTACATACAGTATGTAAAGCTAAAACATGGACTAATTCAAATGTTCAAATTTTCTAAAGTTTTAATTTTTTAAGGTTGGTGGTGTCTTAGTAGTGTCATTGATGATTTGAAAATATGCTGTACACAGTATTCAAATGATTATTTAAAGATATACTATATGTCATGAGTAAAATGGAATTGAACGATTAACGTTGATGACGTCATAATTTATTCATCTTGCGTTGTGGAATACGTTAATTTCAGGATTTTATGTGCTCGACGGACGTTAGTTACGGGTTTGCGCATGCGTATTTCCATTTGTTTACAAAAGGGGCGGAGTTATCGCGTTTGCAAGTTGGGTACTAACGTTAAAGTTACGGTTAACGTCGTGCGGCGAAAACTACCTATTACTTCCAACCACAGATTTTTTATAAAAACTTTTCACTGATTTTTGGACATTTTACTATCAAAATCTTTAAATTATTACCAGCCAAATTAAGGGTCTTTGCAAATGAATACAGGAGATGTATTTAAATAATTTGTGAAAAAAATATTTTATCCACATACTAAATTCATGATATACAAGTTGAGGTTCCATGTATGTTATGTCAAAATATGCATGATTACAAAGTAGAAACGTATAGTTAACATTATAGACATGAACATTTTTTAATTCAAATATTTCGAGCACTCCTGTGATCTTCCTCATACGTGTTTTTACTGAGTAATACTCAGGTGTGCTCGAATTATTCAAATTATAAATTTTTTAAGCCTATAAATATTAGCGTGTATGTTTCTACTTTGTGCATTATACTTAATTTAATATGTACTATATCTAAAAAATGTAGTGATAAGGATTTGGCACTCTTCCCAAAGAAATGATGCAATAACTTTGCTGTATGCCAAACCAGGTACGGGATATTATATAGAACATATTGTCTAATATCCTAAATGTTTCTCAATATTGAATATTTATTGGCAAATGAAAGGAACATAATAAAAAAAATATAAATATACTCGGCACTGCTAGATGACTTGCCATGTTTATTTGACTGAAACAGCAGCATGTAATTTAAAATACTAAAGGTGTATGTTTTCTATGAGAATACAAGTATTAGTGGACAAAAGTTTGCACTGTCACACTCTTTCCACACTATTAACTTTTTGGTGACAGAAAAAAGTGAGATTTGCATGCATAAGGACATGGTGATATTTGGCAAAGACAAGCCAAACAAATCACTCGTCGCAAATCCTTGTTTTGGAGATAATGACCAAAACATGCTGAAATGTCAAAATTTTGGAAATCTATTTTATTGCACTAAACTAACATTTATATATCTATACATCATGCTATGCTGTTATTTTCCTCATTTTCAATGTTAAAACAACAATTTTTAACTATTTGGTGTTGGTTTCTGCCTAAGAAACGCCTGAAATCGTAAATTTTAAAGACTGATTTCTCAAATATTGTTCTTTAAACAGCTGTATGTTTAAACTTGTGTAACTTCATAACGAAGTGTCGGATTTAAATGATTCTTTTACCATTTTATAGCTCTCATTTTACTGTTAAACCATATTAATAACTAAAAATTGATTTTTCCGACGAGTGACTGGTTTGGCTTGTCTTTGCCACATATCATATTGCACCCATATATAGGCATGATGATGTCATGTTACATCCATATATAGGTAAGGGTAAGGTGTTTATAAATTTAAAATGAAAGAGTATACTGCTGAATGTCCCAGGGCACTTTATGTGACTGTGGCTGTAGCCAGTGAGGACTCATAGCTATTACGCCATGCCACTGAGTGTGGACAGAGTGTTGTAGTTTAAAGTAGCAAAACTTGGCTGAAGAAGAAGAGACATTTGTAAGAGATGTTTAAACCGTCCTGTATGTGCATTTATTCAAGGTCCCTGTGTATGTTGAAGATTTCTGTACACTTCATAGGAGAAAGAGTAGGAGAAAATTTGTACTGTTTTTCAGTTTGACTACATTTATTCAAGAGATGCACATTAAATTAGTGAACTTGTTATTAAATTTGTGCTGTGGTGAATAAGAATATTGTATTCCAGCTGAACCACTTGTAAGCGACCATCCTCAGGCCAGGGTTGTGGTTTACAAGAATACACACACATGAGGCCCAAACCTACTGTATGTGATGTTGGGTCTCAGGTAATAATAATTAATACAACATCATAATAGGCCTATGTAATAATCACTTGTGCAGGCTTTTACAAACACTTCTATGTCAAAATATTTCTTGACCTCTAGGATAGTTACTTACCATGTGCAGATAAATGATTTAAGCCCCAAAGTGATCATTACAAGAGGTGGGCTCTTATGAGAGGTAGTGTTTATGAAAGGCAGCAAATACAGTGATTAAATGGGAAAGAAAATGGGCATTTGGCAAGTGGTCATGTAAGAAAGGTAGTCGACTACTAGAGGTGGTCAGACAGTGTTGAATTTTACCAATTGTTTTGGTGAATGTCTTAGCCCCAAAGTGTTCATTACGCGAGGTGGGCTCTTATGAGAGGTGGTATTTATGAAAGGCAGCAAATGCAGTGATTACATGGGAAACAAAATGGGATTTTGGCAAGCGGTCGTGTAAGAAAGGTAGTCAACTACTAGAGTCGTATTGAAAGTATTAGGTTGTGCGTGTAAAGGAGCATAACGTGGGATACTCCCCAGGAAGCAGAGAAAGCCCAGAGAGCAGAGAAATTTGAAAAAAATATGTGCTGGTTTGCCAATCCAGTGTCCAGGGAAATATTGATGCCAGTGCCATGTATATGCCTCGGCCTGTGATAGGAGCAATATAAATCTAGAAAATAATTATAAAAAAAAAAAAAAAAAAGATGGTTTTTGAGTAATCTTGACCAAGAGTGGTGAATACATAACCAACTTTGGCAGAGGTAAATATGGTAAAATTTATTGATTCACATATAAACTAATCTTTCAATCAAAATTAGGATAATTGTGAATAAAATTTTGTTTTTATTTTCCTGCTAGAGTACCTACCGCTGAGAAAAAATGGAAGCTCTTATAGTCTCTAAAAAAAATGAAGTTTGTTAAACAATATATAAAAACCACCCCTCCCCACCTAAACTTTTGTTGAGATTACTCTAAACAAGCAATTTTTTTTATTTGGCCTAACAAGTATAGTTTTACCCTTTTACCCAGAAAAAAGAAATAGACCGTCCAAAATGGAAAACAATCACTTGCCTCGTAGCAACAGCCGAGGGGCGAAGCCCCGAGCAAGGGGTGGGTGGGTTATATTTGCTAAAAGTAGATCAGGCCAAGCCATCCAAGCCGTCACGGTAAAAGTGGCCAATATAAATAATTGTCGTCATCCAAAAGACGGCCTGACGGCTCAATGGCTAAGTCCTTGGTTTTACCTCAACTTAACTTAAGCATGACGATGCACAGAACAGCATAAGAAAGAGTTGTATTCCAAATTCAGTCAGAAATTAATGATACGAGGTAACCAATGATAAGTTCACTTTTAGTTTAAGGGTCTAGACCCAGCAGATGATTGACCCTGAAAATGATATTGTCTAGTCTGAAATCTAAACTGAAAAATTTCCTTGTTCATGGCAGTTTTCTAACAAATTCCTCAGTTTATCTGACTAGTTGAAACATGTTTTCATTCATCGATCCTATATTTTTTTGTCATTTTTAATTCATTCGTTTACTGATGCCCTTCGCCATGGTTAATCTTGCTTTGTCACTTACCCAGGTTCTATCAGCTGTCCCTTGTTTTACCTACACCTCCTCTATTTGCACTCTCATCGTCGTAGTGTAGCCAACCCTCTGTCATCACCAATTACTTGATTGAGTTTCTGCAGACCGCTCAATGGAAGACTCCTGTGCTATCAATTGGCAATCGATTACTAAGAGGAAATGCAGAATCTGTGATTGTTTGCATCCCTGCCAATCAGGGAAGCTGGCGGAAGAGGATATTATGAATTATATTTCCCAATATCCAGATTAACCTTGATAGACAAATTTGATTGATGGATTGATTGATGGTTCCAGTCAGGTTTGATGGATAGGTGTACTGGTTTGTCCTTTTGTTTCACTGCTGTACTCTTTTTTTAATTGTCAATGGCTGCCAAGAATCTACAATTAGGTTGTTGTTTGTGGCTCTTAAACTGCATCATCCCCGATAAAGCTACCTGATACTCAATTCCCAATTCCTTTTCAACGGAACAGAACTGTAGATCAGTGGTTAAGATTTTTTCCTCCCAATCCCTCTTTTTGTATGTATGTATGTATGTATTCAACCAGAGTTATTATTTGTCTATTTGTCTATATGTTTTTTTTTACACAGTGCTACACAGCAAACCTAATTTAAATAATATTTACTATGATTTCTAACCTGTAACCTACAAAGTAGTTTCTAGTTTTACCACAGCTCCACTATGTGTGAGGATAAAGTCAGTTTTGTGAGAGAAATTTCTGTGTGTATAATTTGCGCCTACATATAGGTCTCTGTGGTATAGTGTTATGACATTCACTTTGATGGTGAGAGATGATTTTTTTGTACAACTGAAAAGTAACTTTTCATTCAAGAGAGGGGTGGGGGAGGTGAGGTAGGGTGTACTTGATAAAGGGTAAAGAAAAGGAATCTGTCAGTGTGTAAAAAAAATGCCCCAGATGGGATTATCTTGTTTGCAGATGCCTTTAAACCAGCTGATAAATATACAATGAGATTAAATAATAAATATAACATTGACAAGTTGGTATATTGAAAACACAATTTTTTTTCAAAACTTCAACTCATCCTCATGTCATGAGTGAACAACAAAATACAATTTGGTTATTTCATTTCTTTTCATTTA